GGTACAAGAAAAAGAAACCATTTTCTGAAGTCACCTCAATGGCTTGTCAGGTTAAACGCGTCTGCAAACCTACACGGAGACGGTTCGAAACCACGAGAGTCATCGAGGATGTTTGGGAGTGGTAATCTAAGAACAACTGCAAAATCAACGACTGCGTTGCCGCACTCCCTGAGGAAGTGATGAAGTGCGACAAAAATGCGAAGTGGGCAAAAGCGAATGTGGGGAAGTAGTAATAATCCCTCGTTCCGACGGCTGGATTCGGGATCGGCCTACGACTCGAGATTCTTGTATAATTTAATCCATCGGTACTCGTGGGCCGATTTCAAAATTGCAGTCGAATCGCCGTTCGGTTCCAGTTGGGATATCCTCGTGATAGAATCGACTCGTGCACCATGGAACTTCCGTCTGACCGAAGTCTGAGCTCAAATTAATGCCGAACTGCAACCGAGTTGCCTTTTTGAAATCAACCATGGCTTGCTTCATATCATGCATCTTACTGCTTCTAAAAAAAAAAAAAAGTTTTAAAACCCTTTTAATGGTGTAATTTTTCTTCCGAGCACCGACCTAAGCACTTCCTAAATATGTTATTCCCTTTGTGAAAAATTCTGCCCATCGGCATGAAATCGATCGCCATTTTTTCAAAATGTTTGGAACGCTAAAAATATTCCTCGATGCATTGCGTCTGAGCAAATCGGAACGATATCAGCAACTTTTGCAATACATTTTTAGATGATATGTTATTAATTTTCTGCGCATTTTCCCTTGTTTCTCCTAACGGATCGTGAGTATAGGCGTTGCACATTAAGAAATCGGCGCTCGAGACGAATTTTTGGAACGTATGAAATGGTATTTAGCGGACGTCCACATTTAGCGTACCGTTACGTTATTTTCGGCATCCTGTATCTCTCTACCGGCGTTTCTGCGTACCTTTGGTCATGCGTTAGGCAGAAGATCGGTAGATGATCGACCGCTGAAATTCGTGCAGGAAATTAGGTTCAGCCGATGAGATGGGATTAGGCATTCGGGCGCACTCATCGATCGGATCGTGCAAGGAAAAAAAGCAGTTGCGAAACGACATGCGTTCTTCGGCACGTGATCGTATGCTAAGAGATGCTCCTCGGCGACATCTTTCGATATCATCCTTTTTTTTCACCCTCGACTGGATCGGGAGTGGAATTTTAGGCTTCTTCGTCGTCCTTCGATCGGCTGGAAAATTAAAATCCTTCTCCCTTCCCTCGCGAGAACGCTCTTTAACGAGCTCCCCGGGAAGAACTCGAAATTTCCACTTCCGATCCGCTCCGTGACGGAATGCATCGGTTGCGAAACCCTGTATTTTCACGAGCAATCGCTTCGACTTCGCGTGCGTGCAGACGTCTGCATTCCGATGCTAGGTCTGCGAAGGAAACTCGTCGGATTTGTACGAACTCGAGATTCCAGTCGCCGTATTTCGATCCGATTCGGAGAGCGATGGAGGGGATTCTTCGAAACGCCGAAAGTGCATTTCCTTGCAGAAACGTCGTGCAAGGTGCAAGGTTTCTCTCTCTGACGCGCATGCGTGCAGGCATCTCGAATCCCGGTCGTTCCGATTCCGCACGCAAGCCTTGCGTTTTCTCAAACCCTTGGAAGTTTGTGGGCGTGCGTGCGCGCCCTTGCGTTTGCCTCCCTGCTCAAAAATTCTCACGCAAGGTACTCCTAGTGAGAGATGACCTTAACAACTATGGGCAACAAAACGTCGCAGAAAACTCGAAAACCATCCCCAAGAGTTGGAGTTTTTACCTCGATCCTAGAATTCTGAGGCGTAGTTGTCATGCATTTTGCAATAAGAAAATTTTTAAACGTTAAAGGGGGGAAACTTATCGATACTTTATCGAAGTACAGATGTGCAGATCTACACTATATTACCAACAAAAGTATCGGGACAAAGGACGATGCGACGACCAACTATCATTTCGCGTTCAAACTCCGTCATCTCCGACCCACGTGCCATCTGGAATACACTGACCGCAACAGATTGTATATTACTTTTACGTATTACTAGCGAGTTTGTTTGCCCGGAGGACGAACTCGCACCTCGCAGCGCAGCGAGTGCAACGGAAATTTTATTTAGTAACATGGGGTCCCTCTACAACTTTGTACCGACTCACCAAAAGTTTGACTCCTTTGGGGGGTCCGTAGTAGTGAATCGGCCATATAAGTACTAAATATGTACTGAATAAGGGGTCCGAATTTTGAAACGCCACCTAGCCTATGACCATCCCCGGACCAAATGAGGAAGCCTTGCAAAGTTTGGTCAGACTGGGATCAGAGGCGTGGCCGTGCATAAAGGACAGGCACACAAACATTCTGAAATATAATAGTAACAATTTTTTTAAAGTAGATATAGTATATGCCCTCTACAGAGCATATGACCTCTGGGAGAATCTGTTTTCGGCGGAGGCGGACTCGTCCCAATAATTTTGGTAATATAGTGTATATACAAAGGCGAGTCGACCGAAAAAACGACAATTAATTTGTTCCAGCAATCCATGTAGTCGTGAGCGATACATGGAGCATGCAAGCCACTTCACCGTGTGGCATTTCTTCGACCGACCGATTACTGTCGACGTTTCACTGCAAACCATTTATCGATTACTGTCGACGTTTCACTGCAAACCATTTATCCGTATTTTAAAATCAACAGTCGTTTCACAGTCGTGCATTTTTCACGGCACTCGTTTTAACTGCCTACTCGGAAGTTCGTTCGGTTGCTTTCCGATGCTATCGACTCTCCCTTGTTGCTCGAGCACGGGGTACTCGTTGCTACGTGGTCGGAGCAGTAGAAGCTCGGTGTATCGCAATGGCTTTCCGCAGCATTCGCCGTGATGGACGGACCCAGATCGAGACCGGCATCAAAGGTTCCGCGGCCTTTCTCGGAAGACATGAAAACGCGACACACGGAACGATAGTGATCTCGGGACGGTGCAGCAATGCCCCCACGGTCGTATAGGTGGCACGGGGTAATGCGTTTGTGTGCTCGTGGCATCGTCCTTCTCTGCGTCTGTACGTCCAAGTCCGTTGTTTAAAAAAAATTTCGTGGATGTATTCATCCTCTAAATGAGTAAACATTGCACGGAGAAAATACGGAACGTCATCGGTGCTAAGCAAACCTCTCCTATACTTGCCCTGGACTCTCCATAAAGGATGGAAACCAGATGAAAGCAGATTAGATGAATGAAAAGACGGAAGAAGTCGTTTATGCAGGGAACAGCTCTACTGTGAAAAGAATGGCGCAAAGAAAAGGACGACTGTCAGAATGTACGCAACAGTGAAATGACGTACGCCTAAGTAACCACAGTGAAAATGATCTCAGCTAAGTAAGTTGCACGCGGAGAAGCGTCGTGCCACGAGAATTCCATGTACCCAACAGGGATGACTCGCTACGGGATGGTGATTACATCGCCGCCGCAGCAGCGATGGAGTCGCCATCTCACTTCGTTTCAGGGAACATTGTTCGAGTAACTGCCAGATGATCTGCTCGTTGCTCATGTAATTCGCCTCGTAATTATTTTAAATCCGTAGCTTTCGTCCTCGTGCACTGATCGAGCCGAACCCTTGGACATTTTTATTTCATCAGTCGATACCCATCGAATGGTACCCATGACGTTAGTGAAAGCTATTGGACTCTTTTTGGGCATACTCCTTCAGCTTTTAGGAAAACGGTGCGTCTGAGAAAGTTTTGTCACTTGCAAAGGATACATCTCTGGATGCTGAGAGATACAGGGACGAGACTTCACCACCAATTATTCAGCGGTTTGACTGCTAGAGCTATAACAGACAGGCAAACATACAATGAAGTTTTTTTGTGACAGTAAATGCATTTTTGCGTGAACGTTTGATCTTCGTTCGGTAAGCCGAAGGCTTACCTCAGTTTAAACAAATAATCCTTAATCTGTGCAGAAGTTATCAGGTACTGTAGCTGCAAAGAATTGTCATAATGAAACACCATCGAAAAGGCTTTTGGGAAGCTGTGTATATTTCTCGCTTGGATTCATTTCAATATCATGAAATAACCATTAAACATACACTTCGATAAGTGATGCAGTTGAGTGACGTGCACTTAAAAAAATGATGACGATGAACTTCGTTTCTTGTATCGAGAAACTCTGAGCACACACAACCGATAATGTTGAAATCACCAAATGAGACACGGGGTTTTAGAAGGTAAGACTTGAGTGAAATACCAAGAAGAACAAGCGAGGACGATTAAAGCCAGGGTAACGAGAGGAAGAAGATGCGGATGCTCTAAGCCATTTTTTGGGAGCTAAGGATTAAATTATGAAGCAAGAGGAGGTGAAGATGTAAGGAGAGAGAAGAGGTTCCGCATGCGATAGCTTGAGCAGTAAAGACGGAGTAAGGAAGCTGAAGGGAACGAAGGCTAAGAGGATGGAGGAGGTGAGAGTCCCATGGAGATGCCCGCTGTCGGTTTCAGAAAGTGGATGGTCAAGCGAGGATGCAGAGGGAGGTGAAGGCCAGAGGGAGGATGGAAGCAACGCAGACGGAGTAGAAAAGGGTCCAGATGTTCAGAGCCTCTTTCCCCAAGGCCTGTGGGCTCACTTTCCCCCACAGTATCACCAGCAACCCACCGCACACGTGTCGGGCCTCGTCCGCCTCCAGCATCCATGCCTTGTCGAAAAAAGAGCCCAGAGTTTCACGATAGTTATTCGAAGCGTAAATGGGTCTATTAGTACGGTCACAGACTCCATCACTTTTCTCATTCCTCAAATCAAAATCTTCTCTGATTCGTTCGTACTCCATTTGTCCAATCGTGACTTTTTTGTTAGCAATGGCAATATTTTCTTGAATCTTATACTCCTTGAAAATTTTACTTACTTCACTCGTCAGAAAGACAACCCCTACAACTACTTGAAACATTGCTTAAACTTAAAACTCACATTTTTTTTTACTGAAGCTGATTATGAACCGCTATGAAATTATTGGCTATAAAATTATGAGTCGAGTTATTCCTACGCGTGAATGTGTCAATACTTCCTTTTACGAAATTACTTCCTCTTACGGTATGAAAATGAAAGATTATTTGAAATGTGGATGCAGACCTGTATAGCCTGGTTAGAGTCATAGGACATGAGGAAGGGGTCAGAGCCCACCCCTGACCGAATCAGCTTTACTGTCTCCCCAAGGATCGCCACCGCCATGATAGCTACGAAAGTAAAAAAAAAAAAGGTTCACAATACCGTTATTAACAGGTGCGTGAGAAAGAGGGATGGGACTAAGGAAGGAAATTGGATGGGCTTGAAGGTGTGAAGGCGATGTGCGGAAAAAGCTGCGGAGCAAAGTGAGCAGAGGCGTTGCGTCAGTTAGTAAAGCCTCTTTTTTTAACTGATTGGAAATTATTAGGAGGAAAAAAAATCGGTAAAAAAAGGCAATTTCTTGCGACTTCAAAGGTGTTTTTAATAGAAATTTGCTTGCCGTTGAACGCTGAAGGAGGAATTCCCAACCATAGGGTAATAGAATTTCACGATGTGAGTGCTGTCAGCCGAGTCAGTAACAATATTTTCGTAGCAATATGGAAATTTAAGAGTTACGATGCTTGAAAATATTGTCAGTGAACGTGTCTTTTAGGAGGAAAACAAAATCAGGAATAAGTGAATAATAGCCGAGTTCATCACTAACAAAAGGTCATGAAGCATTTCTGTTGGTTAGGAAATTCGATCCTTTTGACGGTAAGCGGCTAAAGACTTGCCATTCTGGAGAAAGCAAGCGGATCGGAAGATAGGCGTTGACGAGAATCGAGGTAGAGCAAGAAGGGTCAAACAGAGGGAGCCGGGTACCCCGTAGGCCACCAGCCAGAGGCACAGTCCCTGTCCCCATAACCCTTCCAGGTAGAGAAGGGAAGAGAAGCACACCGCACTCACGACCTGAAAGAACCGAGACATTTCCTCGTCGTGCCGACAGGAACGAAGGGGACGGGGGAACGGCAACGAAGGACCCACTCGTGTCGTCGATAGAGTTGCTTGGATACCGCGAGGAGGTGCTCCACGGTTCTTTCCACGATGCTCGTGCTTCTATGTTCTTTGGGGAAGAAGTCGAGTTTCTCTCGAATCTTACGATGTTCCCAGGCCAACTTTGGTAGTTGGTTAGATTTTGGAATATTCACTCAAAAGATAGTATTTTTGACAGAATGAAAAGAAGACGGTCATCGCATCTGGTCTCATGAGGTAGTCTCTGCATAAATGTGTCATGAAATCTCAATATCCTTTTTGAGGCTGGAAGCATTCCCACGCATAGCAGGCACACTGCAAAATGGTTTTATATCCGACCGATAACGGGGCAAATCCACGGCGAGGGAGAATTAGAAGGAAGAGGGTCGAAGGGGGTCGATCCTATTTGTTGTTCGGGACGGTATTGGAATTATCTTTAAGGTCGTAAGCTGTTGACGTTGCAGATGCGCCGTGCGGAGGAGGAAGTGGCGGAGGTGACGGCCCGGCATGCAGCCATCCTGGACAGGCTGCGGGAAGGCGATGGAAAGGCGGAGAATTCTCTGCTCAACGAGATCCACCTGTCCTTCAACCGTGAGCATCGCACCTCCTCCTTCCCGTGATACTATGAGCTTTGCCTTTCGTAACTCTCGACCCCAATGACCTTGCCTTCCCAGGTGACTCGGAAAAGGGGGACCTTAAGAGGCGACGTTGCGATGACATCGAGGAGGAACTCGAGGTGGACGAGATCGTCCCTGACTCCAGTTTCTCCGATCTCTTTGGCCCGGTGAGCTTCCTTTTATCCCGCTTTAATCATATTTCTTCTCACCCATGAAGCGATACCTCTTTACCATGGATGACTCTCCAAACATCGATTCTGAGGTTTTCTTTCCTATCGATTTTCTTGCAAAGAAAGAAACTACTTATGATATTGAGCATTCCCTAAATGGGATCAGTACTTCATAGCAAACGTGGCAAGATTAATAATATGATAAATATAATAATCATCATATAAGCTCAACTACTTCAAAAGTTTATTACAGCCCTTTGATATTTTGGTGTTCCCTTCACTCGTATGAATAATGTCTTTAATAAAAATTTATCCTTCAGGTGGAAAGAACTTCAGAGTATTGTTCTTCACTGCCAGAAAGTTTAAGAATCACATCAGTAATAAAGAGACAGGAGTTCTGAATAAAATTTTAAAAATTAAATAAAATGAAAAGGTAAAGTATTAGTGAGTTTAGCCTGCAGCACTCAAAATTGTTGAAGGCATTGTCGGAGTAGGTTTAGCCTGTATTTGCAACTGTTTTTACAGCTGTTGCTTTGTGCTGGAGGTTTAATCCTGTTGGGTATCACATGCCAGTGTGTAATATGTCGTCTGTGAGACTGCTGAAGAAGGTATTACAACCTTCTTCTGCAGCCTCACAGACTCACAAGAGTCATTACAGACTCTTGAGAGCTGCCAAAGCCAGTTCAATCATTTTATTAGAGGAAACTAGGGCTAGTGATACATGTGCCTATTGAATAATTATTTTTTGTTTAGCTGAAGCTGGAGGTTGTGGAAATGTGTGACCAATGAGTTATTATTGTTTTGATTAGCTGAAGGAGGAGGTGTTGGAGGTGTGTGGTCAGCTGAGAGCCCTAGTCGATCACATCAGGCAGCAAGAGAAGAACTCTTTAACTTCTCTGGAGACACTTTCCTCTTCCTCCTCCACTTCATCACATTCATTCACTCACTTCAAGGTGAAATGTTTTCCAGGATGGAGTATTTGACCTATCAGGATCAGAATTTTCATTTCCTTGGTGGATCCCTGGCTCATGATAAATAGTTGACTATTTGAAATATCTTTTACATATTTTATGATTCATCTCACAATGCAATAAATGCTGAGGGGCTTATGCAGCCACTAGTGTGAGAGGCTTGTTGACATCTTTATGATATTTTCATCTTTTACTGTTGGGTGCATAGGTGGGGATGTTGATGGAACTGGTGAAGGAGCTGCGAGGCCTGATTTTGGCACTGCTGAGGGGTCGGGGGGTCCGCAGCGACTCTCTTTCCCTGGAGGCGGAAGTCCACCATCTCAGGGAAGCCCTGGAAGCCCTCCAGATAGACCTACAGGCCAAACTTCATGACATCCAGCGACAGGAGTCCCTTGTCCGGTCTCTCCAGCAACAGGTGACTCTCTTGCTCCATCAGTATTTGTCTAGTTACTAACTCACAGCATATGAAACTAAGAACATCCTGGATATCAAATAGTTAAACTAAATCACTTATGGGTATGTAAAAAATAAAATCAGTAAATAAAATCATCTTAATCTATGGAGAGACAGGTCATTGGAGTGTTTATATGCATTTCAGAGCCTGGCTAAAATTCCTTGAAAAAATAGTGCTAGTTCACTCATGTGCTTCTGTGTCTTATCCTGCTTTCAGTTTTGTGTACCATGAATAAATTGAAAAAATTGGGTATTTCTGAAAAAAAAAAGGTTTTTTATTTATTTTTAAATTTGGGTTGGAAGAAACATTAGGATTGTGTCGGCAACTGGACTATCTTGTAGTCATCTTGTTAAGTTAGCTTTTGATATGGTGCACTTTTTATTATGACCTTTAGTTATTATGCCACATGAGGAGTTGCAGGAGAGACTAGAGTGGGGTCACCATGGACCATGACCAAGGGGGTCTATGACATCCCATGAAGCACGTCGCAATAATATCTTATGGTTATTGATGATCTTGAATTTAAAAAAAAAGCCTGGTCCAATAAAAGGTCAGAAAAGCAAGAAATAAATAAAAAGGTACTTTTTACCCCTCCTAGGGACAAAATACTCGCAGAAGTAATAAATAACATGACAATGCCAAAGATTTGAAATTTGAAATATTATGAAACAGAGATGAAAACAAGATGCTCCTTGGTGCACCACATTCAGCTTATGACGACTCACTGCATTCATCATGACCCAGGGGGTGGTCCATCATGCCCTAGAAGTGGACCATTTGAACATAAAATCTAAAAAATTTGTCACATGGAGCTGAATGACTGTAAAGTTCTACTTTGGGGATATGTTGAGAAACATTTCAAACAATATCTCATCAAATTTTTTGGAAGTTTGTGGCTAAACTGAATTCTTGAAGGCTAAAAATCTAAAATCTAAAAATCATTGAGCTGTGATGCATGCATTTCATGGTTCAATGGCATACACCCTTTGGGGGATTTTATAATCATGGTCTATATTTTGTATCTATATAAAATAGCTAAAGCAGCTAAGTGAATTTTTCTCGTACTTCCCCAAGTATCAAATTCCATGGTCCTTTTTTTTTTTTAGAAACAGTATTTAAGTGTTATTTGAATTAAATGGGATCCCAGCTACTCTGCAAAAATGTCACAGATTGCCATCTGACTCCCTCTTGAGACATAATCAGCTTTCAGGTGAGAAGCAAATGCTTCTCCAAAATTATGATGAATGTGAAATGAGATTAATAATAATGATTATGGGAAGATAAATTCAGAGTATTTTAATTTTGCACCAAAAAACCATTTTGGATGCTCTAGTTAATTTTGAAACTGGTTTATTGAAGACTGAATGGAATGTTGGTGTGATGTTAGCTGGAGATTTGTCGTGTCAAGGAGGAAGGGTTACAAGAGCAGATCCAGGTGCTACAATCTGACCTCGAGGACACACATCTCTCCAAGGATCAACTCATCCGCAAGGTACCGGTTGACCATCTTTGTCTATTCAATGCATAATTTCTAATGACAAGCCTAGGTCCATCAGAAAGTCAAACTATCTATTAAAATTCTTTTTGAAGTAATGAACTTGTCTGGAATTCCCGAGAATTTGTGCTGTGGCAAGGGAATCCATACCAAAACTTGGAATAGACAAATTTGCAGGTGAACTGTTTTTTCAGAATACCTGCCAAGAAGTCTATTTTGGGATCTTAGTCCTTATTGATCTGGTTGGATCTAAACTCCTCCCCACTAAAGTTGCATGTGCATGCCAATGAGGGGAATGTGCAGATGTGGAGCTTCTTCTCTGAGACCAGTAAATTTGAAACTTTGAAAGCATTTTCTCATAAAATAAATCGACTATGGTGTTCTGAAATTGCTACAGCATACTCATTTCCAATCTGGTGAAGATGAAAATTGCACCAAATGGTTTCTGAAGCATCAAATTACCAAAAATTACAAAATTATCAATGTATGCAACATTTGCCATGGTTTCCCTTGCTGCAACACATAAACTGGAGGCTGTTTTTTCCAGTCTAACAATACAGTAAGATTCAACTTTTGAAATACCTGCATCATCCTTCTTTGTTGATACTTCATATGCAGTTACAGCTGATGCAGTGAGAAAAACTTACCATATTAAATGGAAAATGTTTACTCCTGTGGGTTTTCTCACTAGAAAATTAAGTTGAAGAATACCTACCTTCTCGAATCAAAGTACTCACCCCTTTGACTCACCTTCCACGAGATAGACTTTCTTTACTTCCATTCTCCAACTCTGAGAGATGAGTTGAAAGAAATTCTATTATTCAGATTGCTATTTCCCTGACCAAGAGCACAGTTAGCTTTTGAAATATCTTTTATTCAGGCATGACAAAGTAGAGTATGCACACAATGGCTAACAGCCCCAATGTATACCAATGTTTGATGAGGGAAGTGGAGAATTGTCTTGTAGTGATACTGCAACCCCTATAGCAGTGGTTCTCAAATTTTCTTTCACTCCCATTGAACCGTCTTGCTTCTGTGGGAGGTCATGACTCCCAGTTTGAGAAATGCTGCCCTATAGCATGCGCTATAAAAGAAAGTAATGAGCAATCTGGTGATAGACCTTTCAGTGCTCATCACGCTGGTACCATTTAAGTATCTCGTGAAATCTCGTGTTGCTGCAGCTATGGATATGTCCATTCGATGGGTGCATTAAATTGGAGACATCTGGCGGCAGGAAGCATACAAATGAGCTGGGTGGAGTCAAGCGCGCAAGCTTCAATGCGTTTCTTATGGAAACATGCAGATAGAGACTGTTTTTACTGCGAAAATGCTTCATTTTCTTTGCCAGATGGATTTCCTAAGGCCAAGAATGATTATGTAGTTTGTAATCGATGGTCTGAAGTTTCTACTTGGAACATCCAGACAGCCTGAAAGGCCTGTTATGATGTTTCTTTCAGTCTAGGCCTTCGCTTTCCATGGGCCTATGAAAATTAAATTTGGCATTTGCCGTTACATGATAAACAGCCAACATTTACCCTTCACATGATACGTTTTATTATGAGGTACTAATTCAAAAAGGGTTTCTTTCTTGGGTTGTGATTTAAGCCCATGAAGCACAACTGATAGGAAAAGAAAAACTAGCAGCACTTGAGAGAATACAGAAGCAATGGGAGTCGAAACTTCATCAAGTTTAAAGTAGGGTTGGGCTTGATGAGAAAAAATCTTGGCAGGAAAAAAAGCAAGATCTTGCCAAGATGACGACAATGTCACAGCCAGGTAAAATGAGAGACAGGGCCGGACAGGGCCGTTTCTAGGCATGTTGGCGCCCAGGGCAAGGAGTTCCAATGACGCTCCCCCCCTTCCCTCTTACCCCACTGGCGCCTCGGGCGGTCGCCCGCTTCTCCAGCCCATAGAAACGACCCTGAATGGAGAAAAAATCTAACAAATAAATAAATATTTCCGCTTGACGTGGGAATATTGATTTATTTGTTAAGGTGGAGGGCATCTTATCAAGACTTGACAAGAAATGGAATTCAGGATCTCGCCAAGCGTCTTGTTTTGAAACCCAACTCAAGTTCGAAGCAATTTCCCGTTGTAGTGAAGATATTAATAGTATCCCACTCATATCGTGCACATGTACCTCACTGAGGCCCGTGATTCCATAGAAACCCTTGAATTGGTGAGTGGCTTTTGGGAAAACCTGCACCTCCTTTGAAAGTGAAGTTCGAGTAAGGATTGAACCACTTCCTGCACACCCCTGAACGCATTTATGTTTTACTTCGGCTAGAAGCTCCCTTTATCAATGTCATGGCTCTCAAGTTTTGAGAAGAAATTGGAAGGTGCCCTATGTGAAGAAGGATTGTACAATTCTGTGAAGACATGACTTTGTTCCATTCTCCTACTTATGGACGACCCCCCCCCCCCCCCCCCCCCCCCCCCCCCCCCCCCCCNCCCTTCCCCCACTTATGGACGACCCCCCCCCCCCCCCAATAATGGGCGGCGCCATATTTAAAACGTGCCATCTAGTGTTAGTGCACTCAGCGAAAAGGCGCCGAACCCAGGGGGGCAAAGGGGCACGTGCCCCCCCCCCAACTATATTATTGAGGGGGCAACGCCCCCCAAGAATGGCCAAATTTCGACAAAAGTGTGACACATGGAAAACTGAAAACAAAATGCTGCTTCACGAAAGAGGGGAAAAATATGATTTTCCCTTCTGTTAGTTCCAACTGGGGGAGATCAGTGCGTCACCCCGTAAGGGTATGGGGTGGAAGGGCCATGGCCAGACCCCCCCCCCCCCCCCCGCTTGCCACTCTGCTACCATAATAATACTGAGCTACCCTTATGGATCCTGGAATAATTCCGTCAATGATATTTCATAGGCAGTAGGAACTTGCCCCTCCCCCCCCCAATATTTTTTAGAAGTCGGCGCCTATGGATATGTGATGCATCTGTCATGCACAGTCGAAGGGAGTCATTGCGGAGGTGGTTCGCTTGTGAAACGTGTCTATGGACTTCTGAGCCGTTCGACGAAAATGTAAACCCACGGTCCCAATGGTATGCTCATCGTACGCAGGCGTGGGACGTTCGAGACCAGGCGGTGGCAAGGAAAAACAAAGCAGAGATCGAGTTGGCCAAGGCACGGATCGAGAGCCTCCAGGTGAATTCCCAACTCCTGGAAGCCGTCCAGCAGAAGGTGGAACTCAGTCAGCAGCTGGAACAGTGGCAGGTCAGTCTTGACGCGTCCCCATTGCTAAACCAGCTCACTCGAATCATCGAAGTCACTTTCGTTTTAAAAACTAGTTTCTAGGCTTCTCTTTGTCATCCTTTGAAACGGCTTAGCAATATTTCATATTTTTCTCAGGGCTCTCACTCGAAACCGTGTGGGTGCCTGTTATCGAAAAGCGTCTGATTCGTCTGAAATTGGGAATGGTGTTTTCAGAGATAGTTTTATGATTTATGTACAGCAGTTTTCCAACTCGCGGTCGATTCGACCTTGCCCGATCGTTTGCTCTACCAACATGAATACACATCGTGCTCCTTACAAGGAACATGCACGGGCACGACCATTATGGTGCCCTTAAATGTTCCTTGGAGGTGACTTGAGAAAAAGAACGTACAGTTTATAGCGAATGTATTTCCTTAGTAAAAAAATAAAATAAAATAAAATAAATCTGACGTCTATTGCTCTCTGCATGGACGTGGAATAACTTTAGCGCTATGACTTGGACTTATAACATTTGTTTCCTCGAGCCAAAGGTTTTTTTTTTTTGAGAATCCGAAGGATGTTTCGTAAAGGTTAACCGCCACGTGACACGCTGGCGTGTCAGATGGTGCCACAAGGAAGACAGTGTTTTACCCCTTGGGGGTTATCGTGTTAAAGAGCCCCGGTGGCGAAGGCTGAACCCGATTCGAGTATCCTCGGAGTAACCGCGAAGGCGGAATTCCGTCTCCCAAGGTTAGAGGTTATTTGTGTCAGTCGCGTCAGCTGGTGTCGGAGAGACACCGCGAATTCGTGGGCCTCGAGCCTCATCGCGTGATCGCGATCGTTCGCATTGGAAATTTCTTCTCGTTTCTGGTCTTCGGACGTGAAGGATCTATTCTTGTTACTCGTGAGACTTCGAGTCGCTCACTACGAAATGACATCAACCGACTCCATAGCGTTGCCACCATTCTAATATTCCCTTCGAATCGTCGTATCGACAGGTGGACATGCAGAGCCTCCTGGACGAGCAGCTGAAGGAGAAACTGAGGAGCCAGGAGCTGGCAAGGAGAAAGCCTTCCACGCCGTCGGTGGAATCCAATCAATCTCAAGGAGGTTCGACCAGGACCGCCCGATTCTTGCGACTCCTCAGGCGGAGAAGTCGAGACGACTCGTGATGCGAGACCGATTCCATCCGAAAGCATTAACGTCGCGGAAACCCCGACGAAACGCGTCTGTGATCCCCTACTTTCCAAAGATCTTGATGAAAAATGAGTAAAAATGATTTTTTTGTGAGTCCGCATCCGTCACTCGACGCTAGCGAGCACGCGGATGCGTTTTCGCGATCGTCCGTCCCGACTCGACGCGATCGCGGTTGGAGCACGCGGAAGAACGCGTCACGATGCTCCGGTCGGATGCCGAACGAAGAGCGACGAAGCCGAGCGACGCCGTCTTCGTACGAGATCTGCCGGTGACGTCGGACCGAGTGGCGCTCGTCGGGAGCCACGGGGAAAGCGTGCGGCAGACGTGTCGGAACCAGCGGACGAATATGCTGCTCGATGCTGCTCGGCCTTTCGGTTCTTTTGGATCCCGGCACTCGGCACCCCGTTCCGTTGCGTGACACCCCACGATCCACGCGAGAACTCGATGGGGGCAGCTCGTTTCAGCTATCTCGTTCGGTCGTCGCCACCCCAGTTCGAAGCCATTGCGGTGACGGCGGGGAAATATCAACGTTAAAAAAAGACGAGTTTCGCTTCCATAGGCGTAGGAACGGCGGGGGGAGGGGGGAGGCAAATGAGATAGGTCAGTTCCGAAATTTGGAAAATTACTATTTAATTCAAACATGACGGTAAATTAAGATTCTAAGGAGTCCAAAATGTATTGATGTGCATGCATGAATGCGACTTTTGTCAGACGCAGTTGTGTCGTCGACGTCTGCATCCAATTCTTGAGCCGCCTCAATTCCGAAAAAGAACTCTGTTGATGCATACACAACATACGGAGCAAAAAAATACAAAAAACGCGCCTTTAGCGGGCAAGTATGAAATCCATGGCCACATATGAAAGTACTTTGCATGGAATACCCTGCCCCTTTTCGAGGGAAATTGTATTTTTCGGTTGAAAAGGGCCATTTACACTAAAATGCACAGGTTTCTTGTGCAATCTCGTCCCTAAGGACAACCGATAATGCAACACCGTTGAAGTTTTCCATTCCTGAATTTTCTTCTTATTTTCCTGTCTTTGGTTATGTAATGAAATGGAAAAGCGTTCCAGTTCGAGCACTTCTCTTCCGTGACATGGCGCTGAACCTCTGTTCACTGTTCTGCCATAAAAATGTTTCAAGCCGGAATCATGACTGAAGAGGAGTGACTCCAAAACCGGTTCTGAGGTCGCAACTTGTTTGCGTACACATCACTCTTAGGTTTAAAACGTGGGGGAGGGGAGGGGCAAAAGATACCCTTTGTCCCCCCCCCCCCCCCAGTTCTTACGCCCTTGTTCGCCTCTGCGAAATGTGTGATCTGGCAACCGTGGTCTGCCGGACTCCAGCAAAACCGTATAAACCCTGGATCACCGAAAAAATAGATCTCCAAGTGCTCAACTCTATCACTGTTATGAACGAGTTAACTCGATTGCGAAAGAGTATCTCTTCTTGCGGTTGATTACCTGAAAAATTTCAGGTCGATCTGTACCGGTCCGATCGTACACTTACACGATGAGATAAATGAGGGAACATACTCGTTTGTTTTTATGAGTAGAGCACACCACGGTGCACTGAAAAAATAAACTCGAGACAAGGATGTGTAAAGAAAAAGAATTTATCCGGTGGTGCCACTCCGACGTGTATGGCGCACCGCGTAGGATGGTCTCGAGATCCAGAACGATGGTCTCGAGGACGCCGAATTCGCTCCGGTCGGAGCGGAACCGATTCGGCATCGTCTCAAACTCCTGTTGAACTGGCTCAAAAGGAACAACATGATCTGCAAAGAAAAGTGTACTTACCTCGACACGACGTGTTAGAACCCCTCCCTTCCCCCTTCCCCTCCAAAGCCCAGGTCTTGTCCCTCGTCGATCCCGCTCGCTCGAACGTAGCTCCTGCAATCGCTTCACGAGGACTTCATGGTTCGCAGTTCGATCGTCGTCTATTTTCTCCAGCCCTTTTACCACCCGAGCGAATTTACAGTAGCAACGCGATTTTATTTTTGCGCGAGGAAAAGTATCCGGGAAACGGTGGCGTAGCAAGAAATCTTGGGCCCCCCCGCAAAACCTAATTCTGGCCCCCCAATAAAAAAAAAACCATCTTCTCATAACAGGTTTGCTACTCACTGTATTAATGAAACAATCTAATATTGACGCATGTATACATTGGAAGAATTTTTCCAGATAAGAATAGGGGAAAAGAGGAAGACGTAAATCTGATGCACTGCATTGGCGTCCAAGCATTCAAAATGACATTTTTCTTGCTTTAGCCTCGGCAAACATGTCGGTGAGTCTTAGTACATCCATCTTCTTAGCCCGCGCTGCTTCAATCGAGAGCAATCCGAGGCCTCTCAGGCGTCGTTGACTCATCGAGTTTCGCAGATAATTCTTGATTATTTTAAGTTTGGAAAACGACCTTTCGCAACTAGCGACAGTCACAGGGAGTGTGAGGAAGAGCAGCAGGGCTGTGCACACATCCATGTAGTTTGAGGAAATCTCTGAATACTCTACGATGAGAAGATGCGCCAGGTCTCTGACAGATGACACCTCACTGATTTGTTTCTTCATGGTCTCTCGAAAAGAGATCAACTGTAATGGAAATGCCTCCGTAAAGTCTTCAGGATATTCCATTTTCAGGGCTTTAGCTGCTGTCATGACTTCGGTTGCGTCCGTCGTGGCCAAGGTATGCGGATTGAGAATGAAAAACTTCTGAGTTATGAGGGCCATTGCCTGAAAACGCTGCTTGAGCTGCGTTGCGGTGATGT